AGTATAATTAAAATAATTAAGAAATCGACTTGGAATTTATAGCTCGAGAGTGTACTATTAGCTGAACAGCAAGATTCATCACATGAATTTAAAAGTAGGTCTTATATCGATCAATTTTTCAAAAATAAATCTGCTGCCAATTCATTGGCATTTAATTAAGAAAGGTAACTCGTAAGTTAAGATATTTATTGGGAATTCAATCTAGTTTACAAATATGCTAAGTCCCTGATTCAAAAACTCGTTTCCGAGTTCATCCCAGAACTCCGTCCTAGAAAAATCAAAATGAAAACGTACAATACGCTTTCGCATTGCCTCACATTATACATGTAAAACTGGGTGCAAGCGGGCATTTTCGCCGATACTCCCAGTTTTCGTCTTGAAAAGTTAAACACGGTAAATGCAGTCTTTCTTGGCGCTCGCGCGCACGGAAGTGTCCTGCAACGGATTTTCATATGTTTGCCCTCGAGCAGCCCAGTGACGCGCTGCTTCTGTCGTATGCTGCGTATAGTTATACGTGCTGTATATATGCGCGGGAGGCAGGGGCAAAAAAGAAAAGAAACGCGCTTAAAACTGCCTGGGGATCTTTTTTGCCCTGCTCGGCTACTTTAATGAGACGCGACAGGCTGACAGCATCGGTGGGCGGGTATTGTTCAAACTATATGCGCCTTGGCACGAAGAGGAAGCAGATTTAGAAAGTTCGGAATCGACGAAGCTGCCGCTGCTGCGCGCACTCGTCCATTGAGCCGAACCTGTTTTTCGCTACGACGAAAACGACGACAGCCTCCGGCGAGTGTGAGGCATAAAATAATATGCTAATCCGCGAAGCTCCTCGTCGATCTTACTTCTTTCTCCCTTCTTTTCACTGACTTAGATGTTTTCTTTTCTCGGTTTTTTACTCCCGCGAGCGGATCATCTGTTTTGCGTTTCCTTGTCATTGCTAGAAACTCGGAGAAAAGTAAAAACTGCTCGTAGCACAGTTGCAGAAAAAGTCTCGAGCGCCATGCTGCTGTACTAGAAACTCAACTATTTTTTCGAGCGAGAGAAAATTTATCATAGAGAAAGAAATCAGCTGGAGATAATGCAGATTCCATTTCTTTGAACTCATATATATATTAAGGCTAGGTCATTTTTTATAATTTGAAATTAAATATTTTGAATTTTTAACGTCGAGACCATTGAACAAAAGACAACTACAGCACTTGAAATGCGATAAGCTAATTCTCGAAGTAATGACCATTAAAGGCCACTTTCCTAGTTTTCGAGGAAACTAGCAAGGCAAGATAGGGCTTGTACGAATGAAGCATTCGAAACTTGAACTTGTATACCTATCTTCCGGATGTTAAACAATGAAGTCAACTTCGTGTAAAACTTTAAATCGATCTATTATAAGGATTAAAAAATGTTTCATGTCTCACATCTTCATTGCACGCATCGATTAAACAAACGCTTGAGTCCTTAATCCTTGATTGAAATGAAATATTATTAATAATAATATCATTATTTTATACAGTCAAGTTACGTGACAATCATTTTAAATGCAAGATTGCATTTTTCAATAAATTAAAAAAAATTTAATTAAATAATGATGGCGTTTTTCATTATACCTATATCATTCAATATGATATTTATGAAGCATGCTGAAGTACATCAAATAAAACCATATCACTGGTCCAAGTTGCAGAAAATCTTTTCGACGAGTAACGTAAAAGACAAATTAGAATGATGTCACAATTCATATTAATCGATAAAGATACCAATGAGATTGAAAAAGTCATTATTTGTTCTAAAAGGGGGAAAACAATAAGTCTCCTGCAAGTGACGTGAAGCTTATCTTTCCAATCGAAATCGTACATGTGATGGTTCAATCTAGTGGGTACACTCTATAAGATAAAGTGGATTAATTGCCACTTGAGACTGCTGCGCAGTGATCGTTGAAAAGCCGATTGAAAAAAAAGGAAGCAAAAAAAAAGTTGAGAAAGTTGGCAAGCGCTAATCCTCGTGTAAATCGATTACTTTTCACACATATAGTCGGGTTTATTAAACTCTCAGTGCTAGTTTTGCTTGTATTATCCGGTGAAAGGATGAAATGTAGTCATCAATCTATAATTGCAAAGAAAATCCAAAGACAATGCTTTAGCATTTTTTCGGTATTTCTGATTAAAATATGATATGAAAGATCTCATATAGCTCGAACAGTGGGTAAACGGAAGATGACCATTGTGCTCTATAAAAATAGACAGTAGAGTACGGTGTCGATGAGCAAGATTTTTTCATCAGCAGTGATTGCTTAGACTTTTAAATGTCTACTCCTTTATTTCAATTTTTGTCTCTCCACCTCATTTATGACTGCTTTAGAACTGAACTCAGACGTATCACATTAGCTAATTAAATAAAAAATAGACGTAGCATTAAAAACGATTAAACTCATATACTTAAAATTGATTTGTTTATGTTTTGAACACGAATTTTCTGCGTTGATGCTGTGTTTTATGTAAGTATAATTATTGAATTTAATGTGTAAAATGAAATCTAATTCCAGGACGCCATTCCCCTTTGCTTCAACAGCCGGTATCAATTACCGAAATCTGACGCAACTTTAATGACGTACGTTAATGAGCTGATACACTATTAACAGACACATATATCAGCCAATTAAACAGTGAATTGTCACGACGACATAACATCCATGCAAATTTCATATTTTGGAGAAATTATGATAATGCAAAATCATGAAAGCTGTGAGTTTCTCACTCGATCATTAATTTGTCCGGTAAAACATGGTAACAAGCTTTAGCACTTCATAAGAGGGAGGAAAAACAAATTGATGAAAAGCATATTGCTTAATAACTCTACGCTCGTTCACATCATCATAGTTCATAAGCACGTATAGAAATTTTTTGTCGTGCTGCTGCTATATTTCATGCGTAAAAACAATTTATTATTTCATCGCTCGGTGTGGCCTATTCGTCATTTAATTAACAACTCCAACGGCTCAAATAATTCAATTTTTTTCTAGGGGTAAGTTTCTAACCAACTCTTCGGGTTTTCACTTCCTAACTATAATTTTTCTGCAATTTCACTATTATATTACATTATCACGGTCTTTAATTGATTCAATTGTTTAATTTATACCCGAAAAGTAAATCGGCTTTTTTAGTTTTCAATGAATCATGTCGTTAGTTCAGCATTCGAGGTATAGTTGATCCTTCATTAGGACTCATGTATGTGAATAACTTTATTCCACATTAAAAAAATAAAGTCGTATCGGAAGTAGCAAAATGAAATTTTTATAACTCGGACGCTCAAAAATAAAAGTTGACTTCGCGAATTAAAAAAAATTGGTCAATTAAATTAATGTCGCTACAGAAGCAAACAATTCAATTCACATAATACGTGTATTAATGACTGCCACTGTATCAAATGGTAGTATTTGAGACCTCTTGCATTATCCATGAAGGCTTAGAAAATTTAACATCGAATTGGCATTAGCGACGACGGCGACAGCAAATTTCTATAACGACGAAGAGACACTGCACGTGGCTGTAGAATCGTCAGGCTCATTAAATATAGCCGACACTCGTTTGGTGGCTGTAACATTTCATCTCTCTAATACACGCATGAAATGATATTCCGTGACGAGCGAAGAGCGAATATGTATGTCGTGCTCGGAAGGAGCTGCGGCTCAAAATACACCGGCATTCGATCAGACTCGCTCAATTAATTAATCGAATCGATTGTGCGCGATTCTTCTTAAACGCGGATGACGGATTCTGTTGCGGTCAAGAAACTCGATATTCCGTTTACACCTTCGAGTTATAGATATATAAATGTCATTTAGATGAACATATACTCGCTGCTTCGATTGTAGATGAACTGCTAAGTTTATGTATAAGTTTCAGCTTGTTTTTCAACCCATACTTATACTCACAAACAATTCTTTAATTTTTTTTGTTCAACTGAATTAATAATTTTTTCGGATAATGTATAATAAAATTACCATGTTCAAGGAGGTAAGTAGCCAGTGGGCTACCTCAAAAAAATCAAAATTGTTTTATTGCATTTTCAGATTACCGAATACAGTTAGGAGCGCGGTGTAAAAAAATCCAATTCAAATCTCTGCTTGATTGACAGTTCTTAATATTTTTCATTCGGTTAGTTCATGATGAGTAAAAAGTAGTCAATTTTAACAAGCATCATAGTGACTCAAAAGTAGTAGCAAATTGGGACCCTCATTTTATAAGCGTTTGAGCAGATGATGCATAATTCGCTGATTATATCTTTGTTTGGTACGAAATGTTCGTTTTAATTACTGAAACTGGTTTAACAACAATCTGTGGAATATATTTTTTCAATATTGGATGTACCTATTATTTATGCTCGGTCACACTAAAGGTACTCTCTGGTGAAAATAAACTAAATTCCATTGTTTCAACCTTCAAGTCTTAAAAGTTTTTTTAAACTAATTGGCTTTAGAAAATCGTTAAATGTAAAGTCACACCATCTATGATAAAAGAGTTCACTTGCCAGACATCTGCAAGGAACAATGCTTCCAACAGGATCGTTTCTTCACTCCATTTTCGAGTCTGATAAATGATGGTTGAATTGAAGTGAGAAAAAAGAGAGAGTGGGACAAAGACAGAGAAAGAAGAGTCTTGCCGACAATGACAGCTTTGCCACGCTGCCTAATCGTTATACACGCTCGCGAGGAAAGTTTAATTGAGCGTAAGTAATTTTATCAAGTCGAAATTTTCTCAGTCGTTATATATATATACTCTTAAAATCGTCTTTGAATCGCGCCCTTCACTATATAGTATTTCTTATATGAACGACTGAGTACAATCAAAGGATTTTCTTTATAAAAATCATTGTTGTTCTTTATTAATAGGTTGACATTAAAAGTCTTATTTGCTGAAAACGATAATGGTAGAAAAAGAGACAATGAAATAAAAGCTATATAATTGTAATGAATTTCTTTTTATTTAATAAAAATATTTTGACATTGAATTCACACTAAAAGTACTTTTATTATCAAATGTAAGTTGGTACAAAATTATTTAAAATTTTTAACACAATTTTTTATCAATCATGGAAGTGAGTTGAAACCGCTTATGCTGGTAATCATTATGCATTATGCTTAAATTCTTATTACAGCACCGTCTTTATTAAAAAGAATGTTTCAATATTTCAAATATATTCCTTGCGTTTTGAAAAATAAAAAAAAGAGAAGATTTCATCATGATTACCGGTTAAAATGATTAAAATAACCAAAATTTACATCGAAACGAATCATCATTTTGACCTTTTTTCACATAAAAAAAAACGATAACGTGTAATGGAAGTGTCTATTATAAAAAATGTCGCCGGGTAACGACCAAAAAAATTAATTCTAACTTTTAAATAAAATAACTATGAGCAGTTACTTCAATGTACATTAACTCTGAATAATATTTATCCAGTTTTTACTATCAGTTACCGTATCCGCAACACTTATTTGAACATATTTTACACTTTTATCAATAGGATCAATAATTTGTTTTATATCAGAGCCAGCAGGCAAAACTATAGTATTACCATCTTCATCTTGATACTCATAGACTCCTTCGCTGTCATCAACTTCTTCTTTACACTCAATCAAGCCATCGTTAAATTCCATATCTTCTTCTCCCTGCATTTTTTTTTAAATCGAATATTAAACGTTTATTCCAAAGTAGTAAAAAATTAAAACCCGCAGGGACCCCAGCCAAAAGTTCAAATTTTCAAACAAAGAGAGTTTAAGAACATCATTTGAAGCTTTCGATAGAGCCTTTTAAAGAAATATTCAGTAAAATTTTCAGAAAACTTGTTTGAAATATTGAATTTTAGGCTGGGTTCCAGACTCTTATGTTATCAAAAATTACGTACCTCTCTATCGACGATTACGTTATTCATGTTTGCACCACTGATGCTTCCCCCTGCAATTCTCACTATTTTTTGCTCACCACCGTCTTGGATTATTATGTGGTCATTGAGTTCCGTGACATATACTCCAGAATTTTCATCCTAAAATTTCATCAATTTTTATAAAATTCTAAATTTTTCTGAACTATTTATTGTTATATATAAAATTTTACCTCAGTACTTTCCATAACCAACTGAAGAGAGTTATCTTGTAGAATGATGTTGTCATCGGATGTTAACCTTGGTTGATTAACAACAATAGTATCATTTAAATGTCCCTAAAATATATTTTAATGAATAATGTTCCGTTAATAAAATTTATAATGTTGTATTTTAAAAAATTGTCTATGTTAAATTGTCAAATTGACATAAGTTTCATAAAAGATATTAGCTATGAAATAATAAAAATTATTTAAAAATATTCATTCAAAAGTTGACATAAGAATGTTCTTGAAATGTAATGATCAATCAATTTACTAACTTGTGTTTGCATATGTGAATAAAGTAATGGCTTCCTCATAAATCCCATTCCACATACTAAACATTCATATGGTTTTTTATCACTGTGTATAAATCTGTGTGCATTACGATTATCTCTACTATTGAAAGCTTTACCACAAACCTAGAAAATAAAAAATTGAAATCTTGATATTATAAAAAATATGACATATTATATTATTGTGAACAAATTATAAATATATTTATATATTTAAATTTTAAAATCTGACTGAATAAACAAATGATTAAATAAGTTTATTTTGCTTTATATAATACCTCGCATAAGTAAGGTTTTTCTCCTGTATGAATACGCATGTGTTTTTTGAAATGTTCTGGATAAACAAAAGTTGCAGAACAAGTTTCACATTTGTAAGGACGTTCACCAGTATGGGCAGCTTTGGTATGATAATCTAATAACCTTCTTCTTTTAAAACCTTTTCCGCAATCGTCACATTTGTATCTTTTATCGTTGTAATGAGTAGCTCGTTTATGAGACTGTAAATTTGATCTTTGACTAAAAATGTTAAAATTATTATCAATTTAATTTCAATATAACAAAATTAAAATACTGAAATGTATAAAAACCTAAAAGTGGCACCACAAAATTCACATTGATAAGGTTTTTCACCAGTATGAGTTCGTTCATGATCTCTAATTTCAGCTTTTCTTGCAAAAGCTTTACCACATATATTACAAATAAAAGGTTTATATCCTGTATGGACAATTTTATGAACTTCCAAATTGTGTGAAGATCCAAATGCTTTCCCTGGAATACAGTTTTGTATAAATTATTCTTCAATCAATGCTAATTATGATATAAAAAATTGATTTAACTTACCACATGTATCACATACAAATTCTTTAACACCGTTGTGGGTTTTTAAATGTTGAGTTAGATTTTGCTGACTTAAGAAAGTTTTTGAACATTGATTACATTCATGAGGTCTAGCTCTGGCTTCATGAGTTTTAGCATGTGCTCGATGAGAATACTTTGATGCAAAATCTTTACCACATACTTCACAAACATATGGTCTGTTACCAGTGTGAGTATTTGTGTGTTCTTCAAGTAAATTTTTGGAATTATATTTTTTACCACATTGCTCACAAGACCAAGTTTTGGCTTGTTGGTAGTGAACACGTTTATGTATACGGAATAAGCGTAAATTGCTAAAGATTCTATTGCAAACTTCACATTGAAAATCTCCTTCTTCTCTCTCTACATGATCATCGTAGTGTTGTGACAACTCTGTTCTTTTTTTGAAAAATTCACCACATAAATCGCAGATGTACACTCGTGCATCATGAAATTCTTTTATATGATTCATAATACTTTTTGCATCTTGGCTTTCTCTGTTTTCTTCTGAACATAGTAAACATTTGTAACTATCACCATCTCGCATAATAGTCTGAAATTTTAAATCATTATAAAAATATCTTATAATCTACTATTAAATATAATTTTAGCAGTAATTTTACCTCTAATGCACTATCAACTTTGGATTTTTTAATTGACTGAGTTTTTTCGATGATTACTTCCTCTATTTGACTGTTGTCTTCATTTACATGTTTTTCAATATCTTCAGTAGTACCAATATCTTGAGAGTCCATGCATTCATTATCTTCATTACTCACTCCTTGCAAATGCGGAATCGTATTTTCATTTGTAAATTCTTCAACAACTATTTCATTTGCCTAAATAAGTAAATTATTATATTTTTTTATAAATATGCAATGAAAGGATTTGAAAAAAAATCTTACTTGAAATGCAAGTTGCAATTTGGACACAGGTAATATGTTTCCGGATGCGTCATTTTTAATGTTTTTAGCATCTGTTAACCCATTATTCTCATCTGTGTTTTTTGTAGTAAGTGTTTCATGATCCATATCATCATTTTCAATATCATTCTCAATTTGATCAATGATCTCATTGCCATTTGTAGTTATTTTATTGATTTTAGAAGTTGTATTAGTAAACAATGTTAAAATGTCATCTTTGAGCTGCTTCAGTTTATTCTCTGTTTCATCAATCTTTAAATAATAATACAATTAAGTTCAAATATATTGAAAAAAAAACTTTTCTGTAAGTTAGTTAGTTACCTCATTAATGGTCTTGTAGCATTTTTTACACATAACTGAGGAATGAACAATTTTTTCATTAATTTCAATCTGTAGAACTGAAGATAATAAATTGATAATAGGGCTATTTAAATGCGTCACAGCATCATTTCCAAAAATATTAATACTGGTTCTTGATGTAACACCCACTTTACTGTTACAAACAAAGCAGTTAGGATTGACAATTTCCTTTCCTATCAAAGATGTCATCGTGTTGATTATGATATCTCGTTAATCTGAAAATAAAAAAAAAATGTTATGTACAAGATTTCTCAATTTTAAAAAATGTAGAAAATACTTATTTTTAAAATCTACCTAGTGTTCATAAAGTTTATAAGTTAAAAGCGATTTAAATAAAACTTTTGCATAGTGCAATGGAATGCTTGAACGATTGTGAGGTTATGTACACTTTGGAACGAAAAATAACAATACTGCAGGAGAGCCTTATTGTTGATGATTGTTTTTTTTTCTTCATAGAAAAATTATGAACTCTAGAAAAATGAAAATCTCTGAATTTACGAGAAAATTTGAATATGTCGATTTGGACAAAGTGAAAAAAAAGCAAGCTTGTTAAAAATCACGTGATTTCAAGAACAGATCATAATACAAAATTTTATAAAAATAATACAAAAAAAAATGACAAGGGAAAAGTTCAAAACATAGTTTGTTCATAATTAATGTATTTAACAAGTATGCGTATAGGTATAAAAACAAATGTTGTCAGCACTGACTTGAAAATTTTGTCTTTGAAATCGAAGCGATTGGTAAGGCAACTTCGACGCTATTCACAACAATCACAACTGTATAGTGTATAGGCATTATGGGTTAAGCTTGTTGATTGTTCGGACTTCAGACTGTAGTGCCTACTTATAATAGTGATCCCAGATAGTGGTGGTAAGTTATACCTATCTACTGTCCGGCGTCTTGTAACTTGAAGTGACGTCACGTTATATACTTTGTAAATGGGAGAGTAAATTTGGTAGCACAGGAGCTAAATCGATTTTTTATCAAATTGTTTAAATTGTTTTTGTCACGCTCTCGCTAATTTGCAAATATGTTGAATATATGATTAAATTGAAACAATTACTTACATTTAAATGATCGATACTTGATTTTGTTAAAATTTATGCTTGACAAATTAGTATTGTAATTTTATGTACAAATTAACTTGAAATTAATCATTTTGTTTACTCAGTAGTACTCATACTGACATTTCGATCAATTTAGTGCAATTTTATTGGAAACTGTTGGGATTTTCTAATTTTGTAACTTAACTATTTACAAATCAATAAAATGAAGTAAAATCATTTTTTATGAAATCGTAACTACAATGAAACTATAATTATTGAAGTATCATTAAAGTTTCACTTCAATTATAGGTATGTATGCATTTAGCATCATGTTGATCGCACGTGCCGAAGACGCGCGCATCATAATCAGTTGATATCATATACTGGGTTAATAAATATTAATTCTCTGAATTAAACGAGTTTACCACGTATCGGTAAGTTTTTACTCATATAAATTGAGATGAAAATAATTTTGATAATTGCGATATACTCATGAGTTCCGAATTATGTAAATTATTTCAAAATTTTAAAAAGTCATCCAGTGTAGACGTGTTTGTTGTATGTTGCAAATCATCGTTTGTATCATTTTTATCTTTTTTCGTATATGTAGGTGATGACGTTTTTATAAGACGTGAACTTGTCCTAAAAACGTTGTGGTGGGAGCTAAAGTTCAGCAAGCAAATATATAAAATATACGCTGATTACGTTGAATGTTTGTGATCTCGAACCAGTTGCAAGCGACTTATCAACGAGTCTAGGATACATTTTGGAGAGGGCTTTTTTGGATTAATTACTTAAAATGGCAGAAGAATCAAGTCCCTCTGGGGCAGGAAACAGGTATGGACCGCTTATCGGAGCGCTTGATGAAGGCACTAGCAGCGTTAGATTCTTGGTTAGTACTTTTCTCATATTTTATACTCATTTTTGGGTATTCTGTTATGAGGTATTATGTAATTCTGTATGAGATGCTAAATAATTTTGATATGAAAATATTTTTGGGAACAGATTTTTGCTGCCAATACAGCTGAGGTTTTGACATACCATCAAAAAGAACTAAAGGTATTTTATCCTAAAGAAGGTTGGGTTGAACAAGATCCTATGGAAATTCTTGACGCTGTTCATGAGTGTTTGACACAAACTGTAGAAAATTTAAAGCAACTAACTATCAATCCAGCTGATATCGTTGCCATTGGAATAACAAATCAAAGAGAAACTACTATTGCTTGGGATACTCAGACTGGAAAACCTTTACACAATGCTATTGGTAAATATTAACGATTCGTCTCAATTGTGTACATGAATAGAAAAATTAAAGTTTTTAAAAAATATTTTCAAAGTTTGGATGGATATGCGAACAACTTCTATAATAGATGAACTTTTAAAAAAAGTACGCAATCAAAATAAAGACTACTTAAAATCAATCTGTGGTTTACCAATAAGTCCATATTTCAGTGCTTTGAAAATGAGGTGGCTCATGAACAATGTTAAAGAAGTTCAAGATGCTATAAAAGAAAAAAGATGCATGTTTGGAACTGTTGATTCCTGGCTTATATGGGTATTGATTGAATTTATAATAAATTTTGTAAAAAAACAATTTTTATATTTGAGAAGTTATAAAAACATTTTATTTAGAACTTGACTGGAGGTATAAAAGGTGGAGTACACTGTACAGATGTCACAAATGCTTCTAGAACAATGCTGATGAACCTAGTGAATCTTAAATGGGATCCATTTTTGTTATCATTTTTTGACGTTCCTTTAGAGGTACTGCCTGAAATTCGAAGCTCTTCAGAGATTTATGGTAATATAGTAGATGGTGTTTTACAAGGAGTTCCTATTTCTGGTGTAAGATCATATGAATTTCCTAATTTATTAGAAAGATTTTACTAAATATTAGAATTTAATTAATAATTATTTTAGTGTCTGGGTGATCAACAAGCAGCTCTCGTTGGTCAGATGTGCTTTCAACATGGCCAAGCAAAAAGTACTTATGGAACAGGATGTTTCTTACTGTATAATACTGGAACAAAGGTAATATACTTCTGTAACTAAAATAATTTAGTATTTCAGTCATAAAATGAAATTATTATGTCATCTCAATTTATACTTTACAGATTGTTGAGTCATCCCATGGTTTATTGACAACTGTGGCTTATCAATTTGGACCCAAAGCTGATCCAGTCTATGCGCTAGAGGGTTCTATTGCTATTGCTGGTGCAATAATTAAATGGTTGAAAGAAAATTTACAAGTTATCAAAAATGTTCAAGAGACAGAAACTATAGCTGAAAAACTGAGCCATGATAATAAAATTATTTTTGTACCTGCATTTTCAGGTCTCTATGCTCCATATTGGAGAAAAGATGCAAGAAGGTAATACTAACTTTTTGAGAGTTTCTTAAATAAAAGACCCATAAACAGTTGATCATGTTAAAAAAACTTTATTTGCAGTGTTATTTGTGGAATTACAGAAGATGTTAACTATGGTCATATTGTCAAAGCTGCTCTTCAATCTGTATGTTTTCAAACTAGAGATATCTTAGAAGCGATGAAAGAGGATACAGGAATGACTTTGACAAAATTGTTGGTTGATGGTGCCATGACAAGTAATAGTCAACTTATGCAAATGCAAGCTGATATATGTGGAGTTCCCGTTGGTGAGTTTATCAACCATTATCAAAATGAGCAATTTTTTCGATAAAATATTAAAAATAATAATGTGTTATATATTTTCATGGTAACTTAATGGTAACATGTAGTCAGGCCAGTTATGTGTGAAATAACAGCTTTAGGAGTAGCAATTGCTGCAGGATGCGCCGAAGGAATAAAGAAATGGGATATCAATGTAGGAAACAACGTTCCTAGTGATCATTTTTCACCTGCTATAACAGAAAATGGTATTACATTCACTTACATAAAAATAAATTAAATTAAATTATAATTCTTAACTATAATATTTACAGAACGAGATATACTATATTTAGAATGGAAAAAGGGTATAGAACGTAGCCTCGATTGGGAAACTGATGGTCCTTCAGGTAAGTTTCATAAAAAATAAAAAATAAATAAATTTTTTAAATTGCTAATTTATTTCTAGAGGAGGAGGAGGACATTAATAAAATGGCAGCATCTGGCTTATTTATGTTTGGCACCTTGCTTTTGTTATTGTTTGCCAAAGTTTGGACATGAAGTTTCAAGAGTATTTATTAGATCAAATTTAGCCAAAAAAGTATTAAGCATTCTTAAACGTACTACTGTTCTATATTGGAATATTGCATTTAATTTCGCCAAAAGATAATTTTTTTTTATACTTTTTAAAACAGAGATATTTAAAAATGATGAATTACTTATCATAAAAATAGTGATTCTTAACGAGGTGATATTTTAAAAGAATAATAATAATTATTTATCTATTGCTACGTTTTTTACAGTGTATGATATCAAGCTTTTGTTAATTTTTCAGAATTTTATTTGTGAAATTGAATTCTTTTTTGTGAATTTAAATTTTGTACAGTATTGTTTAAGTTATTGTAATTGTTATTTCAATGTTATATAATTTTAATTCAAATATTCAAATAAAACCGTGTCAGATTGTGTAAATATGTAAGTGCATCTAAAAATTGATATTATAACAAAAATTCAATTGTAAATAATGTTAATGAATGTTAAATTTGTTAATTAATGCTTGCTGCGATCACGAAAAATTATGAATAGAATGGCTGATGTAATTGTGCTCTTGAATTTTGATGTAAATATCGTGTGTTTGTTGAAGGTAAAAAATGTTGTTTGTAAAAATGATGATTTTTTTATAAAGCACGTGCCATAAAAAAGGAAACTGCCATGCATCTTTATTATCACGAATAGTGAATGAATATTTTATTTGTCAAATAAACTTTTTTAGACAACGATTTCCATATTTTTCTATTTTTTCTTTTTCCATTTTCTAAAGATTTTTCAGTTTTTATTTGAGAAATCAAAATATTTGAAAAATCTGCTGCTTATTATCAGCGCTTTAATTTTAATTAGTCTCGTTGTTCTTTTCATCGTTGGCGATACTTTTGTTCGAATCGGAAGATTTTTTCGATTCGATCGTCTTAGGGGAGGATTTTTCAGGCTCTGAGCCTTCTCCCTGAAAAAGCAACGTAAATCACTATTCGGCTGTAAATACTTGGTCGACTTGAGTAACACAGAGAGAAATATCATACCACGAAAGCAATATCATTGGTCGAGGTCTGAGCCGAAGCCAGGGGTATGGCCATCCATTCGTCCGAGAGGATCTCGGGAATTTGCGGTCGCAAGCGCTGCGGCACTAAAATCCGTACGATAAGAGCTCTGCATGGTCGCGACACTTTGGGCGTGTCCGGAAAAACGACTTTGCTTTGGACTTGCTGAAATAGTTGCGCAATAGAGAGGATCGAAAAAATCCGATCAGATCGGACTGGGGTCGTCGCGTCGTACCTTGAGCAGCTTCGACCAGACGGACTCGTCGAAGGGCAGCCTGCCGAAGACCATGGTGTAGAGCACCACACCCGCTGCCCAGATGTCCGACAATTGAGGCTTGTACGGTATGCCGCGGAGTATTTCGGGCGAGGCGTAAGCGAAGCTGCCGCAAAACGTCTCGGACAGCGGGGCGACGCCGTCCTGCGATTTCATCTGGCCCCGGGCGAAACCGAAATCCGACAGCTTGAGATTATAGTAGCGATCCATCAGCAGATTTTCGCACTTGACGTCTCTATTGGCTCATTATTTTCTCATTATCATTTGTGAAATCATGGAAAAGCACAGATAGTAGACAGAAGCGAGGTATACAAGGCCTCGTTGTATACCGCGACAATCAAGTGATAGGCGTTTATTTTAATAATATAATACACATGCTAGGGTATACCTATGGACGATGCCTCTCTCATGGCAAAAGGCTAAAACGTTGAGTAATTGACGGAACCAGCGTCGACTGCGCTCCTCGTCGATGTTCTTGTCACGCCTGATAATGTCGATCAAGCTACCATTTTCCGCGTACTCCATAATAATGTAAACCCTGAAAATTAATGAATTTACGCAAGGCGCGCGAGGGGAATCGTTGGATAGATGCAGGAGCATCGAGATGGATCGTGACTCGAGAGCTCTCGGCACTGCAACGTCCGTCGATTGACAGCTAATTGGAAGGAAAAACGTCGCCGCGCTAGATCCCATTTACGTCTATTTCGTTGCCGCGCGCGCGACTACTTTACCTATGGCTCGTCTCGATGGCTTGCAAAAATCGAATGATATTGGCATGCCGGAGGCGCTTGATCACTTGCACTTCTCGCGGCAGGTAAGTGTTCAAGTTGGCGCTGGGAGCGAGGAATTTCGAGACGATTTTCACGGCTACGTCGCAGCCATGCTTCTCTGACCTGGCGATCTGCAAACGTCCAAAGCCCAGCTCTATTAACCCGAGGACGTGTGCTTGACACTGGGCCGATGTGCTTTCGCTCGACCTGTCTATTAGCGGCAAGACTTTGTCGTCCTGTCCCTCTCCCCTGTCCTCGCGCGCGCGCGCGCGCCTCTTTCTTTACTCACTTTGACTGTGGCATAGTTTCCAGCCCCGATCGTTTTGCCCAGTATGAATCCATGCGACTCCAGAACGGTGAGCTTTTTTTCCGCTCTAGTCGCGTCCTGCTCTTGCTCGTTCGTAGCGTGACAGTTGCTTGATTGGGCTTCGTTCGCGGGATCTGTTGCCATTCTCTCAAAATACGATGATCATTTTTATGCTCAGTTGGGCTTATTATTTCGCCGCCGCGCTTGCTCTTGCAGAATTATTTTACTAACCGATAATTTATTAAAAATAACATTAACAATAAATTTTAACCAAAACTTTTCACTTAACCCCACTTTATGCACCAAATTTTGAGTTGAGCGGTCGAAACATGTTTGTTTTCAAATTTTCAGTAGAAATTAACGATCCCAACATATGAACGTCGAGCTTCCAAGCACATAAATATCTCACGTCTATTTTTATGATTGACTACTGTTAAATTGTCATAGTTTGTATTGATTATTAACTGTGCCAATGTGGAAAAGCCATTTCTTCACAACAAATATTTTTTATGAAATTCATAATTCTCAAATAAAATATCGCTCTTACATTTCAAACGATCAAAAAGATACATGAAATAATTTAAATTTGAGGCGCGACCTCTGCCGCCTACAAAACTCAACTTGGAGAATTCAAGTTGCTGATGTGCGCGCGGACTGCGATGCGCGTCACGCGTGTGTACAACTTTGCATAAGAACTAGGTGCGTCCATACTCCATAGCCATTTCTGTAATCTGTCGGCATTTGTAAAGTGATAGTCAAGCTGCAAGCAAAGCGTCGTTCAAAACATAAACAGTCTTTATAATTTTTTCAGTGACTTGAAAAATCCTTCAACAATGGCGGACGTGTTGGATATTGATAATGCCGAGGAATTCGAAGTTGACGAAGAAGGAGATCGTAAGTGATTTAAACATTTTTCAATGTTTTCTTTTACTCTGTAACCTAAAAAACTCATTCAGTAATTCTTGCTTTATTCGTACTTTAATTTATGATGTTATCATTGATACTTCAAACTTCAGAGGGAATCGCTAGACTGAAAGAGAAGGCGAAGAAAAGGAAAGGACGTGGTCATGGTTCTGAGCTTGTTTCAACAAGAGATGACATTGGTCACTATGAGTCAATGCACATAGTTGAAGACGACAATGAGCCCGGTCCACAAAGATGTAAGTATTTTCTTCCTGTAACTTCTGAAAATTTATTTTAATAATTCAGTTTCTAAATCTTTCTATTAATCCAGCTGTTGAGGGATGGATTCTGTTTATCACTTCTGTCCACGAGGAGGCACAAGAGGATGACATTCAAGATAAATTTTCAGACTTTGGACAAATAAAGAATTTGCATCTGAATCTAGACAGAAGAACTGGTTTCTTGAAAGGATATGCTCTCGTGGAGTATGAAACATTCAAGGAAGCTCAAGCTGCCAAAGAAGCCTTAAATGGTGTAGAAATTTTAGGACAACCTATTGGTGTAGACTGGTGCTTTGTAAAAGGTCCCAAAAAGTAAGTCAAGTGATACACAACTCATATTGAATTTTCTGTAGTAAAGGTGCAAATAGTAAATTAATTCTTACTTTTGCAGATTAAGAAAGAGAAGCGGAAGAAGACGATAACCAATTAATCGTGTAATAAAATCATGAAATATGTAAATTCACAATTCTACATATTTACATTTAATTTAATAAGTTTCAAAGTTTTTTTTGATAACATACAAAAATAAAAGATTAGCTTAAATGTAAAAATAATAATAAAATACAAATTTACCAATTTAATAGAGACATCTTTTTATTAATTTATCATTCAATCTTCACAAAAAATTCATTTGACTTTTTTACTATCTTTAAAAAATGCTTACATACTGAATTACACAAATGTCAAATTATTAGGCATAGTAGTTGAGATTAGCTTTCTTTTTAGCTTGTACCTCATTTATAGCTTCCATCAAATCTTCGTGAGTGACCGCAACTGCATTGCGTCTTAATGCTATCATACCCTAAAAATAATATTTCATTTAATTTTAGAGGTTAAAATTATATTTATATATTATTTTCATATGATAACTTACTGCTTCAACACACACTGCTTTACATTGTGCCCCATTGAAATCATCAGTACTCCTAGCCAGTTCTTCAAAATTGACATCAGGAGACATATTCATTTTTCTAGAATGAATTTGCATAATTCTAGCTCTAGCTTCTTCATTTGGATGTGGGAATTCAATTTTTCTGTCTAATCTTCCTGATCGCAATAGAGCAGGATCTAAGATGTCAACACGATTAGTTGCTGCTATAACTTTGATATCAGCTGTTGAACTAAAACCATCCAACTGGTTTAAAAGTTCCAACATAGTACGTTGAACTTCACGATCACCAGCCTTTTCAGAATCAAAACGTTTAGTTCCAATTGCATCGAGTTCATCAATGAAAATAATTGCGGGGGCTTTTTCTTTGGCAAGGTTAAAAGCATCTCTGACAAGTTTGGCACCATCACCAATGAACATCTGTACCAATTGAGGACCAGCCAGCTTTAAGAACGTTGATTTGGTTTGAGCAGCGCAAGCTCTTGCCAATAAAGTTTTACCTGTACCTGGTGGGCCGTACAGCAAAACACCTTTTGGTGGCTGAATACCCAAATTTTCAAACTTTTCTTTGTGAGTCATAGGTAATACAACAGCTTCTATGAGCTCTTGAATTTGTTTGTCAAGTCCTCCAATATCTGAATATTGCTCTGTTGGACGCTCATCAACTTCCATTGCTTTGACACGAGCATCATATTCAGCAGGAAGCGTTTCCAATACTAAATAACTATCTTTATTGACACCTACAAGATCGCCAGGCTTTAGTGACTCTGCATCAACTAATCCGATAACAGGAAGAAAATAAGTTTGCCTCGTAGATGTTTTTATAACTGCACATTTTCCTTTGCGTTGGGCATCAAGATCTACAACGGCACCATCTTCTTCACCCATATCTTGAGGATCAACATCTAGTAGTTCAATTACATTTGATACAAGGTAAGGCAAAGTTTTGTTGACTTTAATTTTTTCAGTATTCTCTTTGATTTTATCATTTTGGGCTTGCAATTCATGAGAAATACGCATTACTTCGCTTTTCATAATTTTAATTTCATTATCTAGCAGACGAGTTCGTGAAGTAATTTCATCTGTTGACATACGAAGAATTTCTTCTCTGATTGTTTCCTAAAAGTAGAGAATAATTTAAAAGTTTTTATCATAATGAATATCTGCAGACTTTAGAAATTGAATGAATTCAAAAGTTTTCAAGTTTTTACATCAATACTAGAAAAATTCCATAAAAATGGAATTATTTGATTTGAAGTGGGAAGAGTTTGTTGTAAGTTTATTAAATGTAATTATAATGTAATTTCTTGTTCATTCATGAAATATGAACTTTTCATTATTGTTGTTTATAAGGTAAAAATGCTTGTCATCGGAAGTCTAACCTATCAACCTAATAATATGGACTTTGTTTACCTCTCCATCTTCCCAAATAGATTTATCTTCCAGAGTCGCCATTTTAATATAATGGTTGTTGAATCGACCTACAGTACTAAACAATTGGAAAATTACTTTTACAGATAAAACAAGTTTATAGACTTTTCTTTCTTTGAGCGATTATCGGAGTGAGTCGACAGCTGAGACGCACAAATTTGCGACTAGCCAATCTTACTGTTATATCCATCAGAGGGCGACGGAGAGACTGACTTTGAAATCTGTGAGTGCGGAATGAAATATAATTTAGGCCTACCTACTTGGCACTTGCGGCTGTGGGGTAGCAAATTACAATCTAATCACAAATATGGTTCATTGAATTGAGTATCAAATTTAACTTATAACAATGAAAACGTGGACATTTGTGACATTACTTAAAATCAGTAAGCTTTATAATACTGAAAAAAGTAAATTTTTCGGATGTCGCCCCGTGACATTGTAGTCGGATTTTTAGCGAAAATAAATTACATTTTCTCATAATAGAACGGTAGCACATTTATTTGTTGATTGATAGAAGTATTCAAACAATGTTCGTATAGCGTACGTCTAGAAAAAAAGTTTGTTTTTAAATATCCATCTGATCGTCTTTGAGATTCAAAAAAAAGACGATAGAAAGAGAACGATTAAATTTCGAATAAAAGGCGCGCGTGGGTAAAATTGTGCGGCGAGCAAGTATTTATAAGTTGAAAAGAAGTATGGAATAATTGGAGCAGCAGCGAGCAATCGTTAAGTTTTTGTCAGTTGCGGAACTTGTGTCAAGTGCTTGTATACCGTGCAGGAGCTCAGGCTTTCGTGATCTTTTTTGTAAGCGAGAGAGAGAGAGAGAGAAAAGGGGGCAATAGTTGAAAATTGCCAAGTTGAGTGACGAGAGGCTGGGCTAGTGGCTCGAGTCGAGATTGCGCGATATACTCGTTTAAGTATCACGGAAGATAAAATGCAGCAAGTACATTGAAACTTTGTTCGGAATTTCCATATAACCCTTAGGCGAGTGGGGGCTGCTGCTCTAACGCTGCCTGGCTACGTAGGGAACTCGCAATAATTATCTTCCACTCCGATGCATCGGATGCGCGAGCTTTACGTGAACTGCAACGAGCCATGAGCGACATTACACACAGCTCGAGTGAAAGAGAGAGAGAGAGAGAGAGAGCTTCGAAATTAGATCCGGTCTCGAGTTTCACTTTTGACTTACTTGACTGGAAAAAGAGCGTTGACAACCTTACAACGACTCCTACCTAGCTGGCTCTCTCTTCTTATTTTTCTCATCTATTTAATTCACTGCTTGGCAACGCGTCACGCCTCTGAATCTGCTTAATCTGCTGCTTTCAATCTTTTTTGATTCTTATAAAAAATTATTACCCTGAATCGATTGAATTTTATGTCCAATGTCAATTGTCACTATGGCATAATTATGTTATGTACCGAACAAAACGTTCCACCCTTCATGCGCTGAAATTTGCTACAATATTTATTCAGCATATATAATAAAAAAGTGTCATGTTTGAATGAACCAAAGTGCGAACCAAGAGCAACATTAATTAAGGTACATTCATATAGATATTTGATACAATTAACGAGCTGCAAGTTTCGCGCATTAGGTAAGCCCTATGTACATAAAGCACAAATTCGTTATTCGACGCGAGTGGCCCGCTAGGTTCGGTTTTCTGATATATACGTACCCGGACCCGCGCGCGCAAGTGTGTGTGTGTGTGTGCAAAGTATAATGAAATGGCCAAAGTTTAGATGAGAATTCCTCGAATTTTTAAACTTTCAAATTAGTGCGCGTTCAGCGGTTTGCCTATTCATCGCTCAGTATTATACATATATATATGCGTGTGTATGTAGCATCGACTCTACATAAGTGTACATAACTATCAGAATGTTTATGCCATGAGTAATAGTGGTGACGAAAACTATTTTAATTATTTTACAAGGCTAAAATCGAAGAGATGAACTTTGCAATCTCTCGCTCGCCCGTGTTGGGCGTTTTTTCGCGCTGACCATACCCAACTATAAGATTTCGTTCGAGTTTGGCGCAAGTCATAACTAAAAAGTGCTGCCAAGCATTTGCCCAATTAATTAAAGTTCAATACGCTTCGTGGTATTGTCTGCGATGCTGCGGATTATCGTTACGCACGCCGAGTCAGCGCTGCTGTGCAAATAGTTAACTATGCCAAGCGCTCACGGTGTGAATTTACGATAGAATTCAGCGAGCGACCTTCGCCATATCTATGAATGTTAATAATGTCTATAATACATTTTCGGAAATTATCGAGCTCATCGATTAATCAATCCCGCGAGCGACGAACGATGATAAATCATTCGGCTCTTTTATCTTGACTCTTTACATATGCATGTGTAGGCGCGTGCACATAGCTGTGCATGCAGGCCAAGCTTGCGGATACGTGCATATAGGTTGCGGCCTAGACAAATTTGACGCGGTGTCGCGATGATTGAACAACAACGACGACGTCGACGAAAAATCAGCTCATATGCTACAGTAATTAACGTGTACCGGATAATGGACGCGTCGAGCTGTTCGAATTAGACATCGAGACATTCGAAAACGAATCAGGACGATTCAATTAATTAAGCGAATTTGCATTGCCTCGCTGCGTATAACATACGTAAAATATCATTTCAAACTCCGCACACAAAAAAAACTTGAATTCATATTTCAACGGGCTGCACGTACGTACAGGATATGAGAATTCGCACTGAGCTTGTATAGTCTCGGAGGCAGATACAGGCCATAGCTGTGCACTTTTCTTGTATATTGTTGCTGCTCGAGCTGCTGCCGACGCTGGGGTAGTTTTGGCCGAGCGATCGACCAATCGACAAGTTAAGTGAATTTGAAAACGATACAGAGCTAGTGCAGCTGCGCACCGCCAGTGCACGTATTACACAAAGAGAGCAAGAGGAAAAAAGTGCAGAGAAGAGAGAGGAAAAATCCATGAGCGGCCAAAGCTAAGGATGAGAAACAAGGTAATTGCCGTAAGCTCGAGTTATTGCAAGTCTAGCATCGATTCGGGAACTGATAAAATCGTCGACGCTCAGCTAAAGCTGAGGAGCTAAAATGAAAGAAATCGTTCAAATAGAAAAACAGCAAAACAGAGAAAGCAAACGAAGAAATCTTCTGTTATTTTGTATGTACTGATGTACAAATAAGTGTGCATATGTTTATATACAATGCATGTGGTTGTGTAATGAGCATACGACCATTACGAAGGTAACGACGTTGAAGGCGAAAAGGGAAAGGGCGCCTCTCTCTCTCTCTCTCTCTCTCTCTCTCTCTCTCTCTCTCTCTCTATCGCTCTTTTCCTCTTGCGTGCCCCACTTTTGCACTGAAATCCAATAAAAATTCAATGGAATCCGTGCCGACCATTGTACAATGCAAAAGCAGCAGCACCACCACGAGCAGTAACAGCATTAGCCACAACAGCCAGAAAAACCAAACGCCTTCGTATGTGCATGCGTCGATACTTGAGGTCTTACGAGTCGTCAACGCGCGGCTGCTCTCTACAAGTTGAACTTTTATAATTCGATTAATTCTTACGTATCCCAAGCTAAACGCTATTTACCCAATATAGCTTCAACGCCGAACTTGTTTTTTCAGTAAAGGAATCGAAAAGTTTTATTATTTCATCGAACAATCATCCATTTTAAAAGCTTTATCGACGCGAATATAACGTGGGTGTATTTAATTTCCGAAAAATCAAAGAGATATCGACGAAAATTTGGTATACCGGCGACTCTAAATATACTCTATTTTTGCCGCAAAATATATAAATTTTTTATTCTGAACATTGCCTCGAGTTTTACTGAAAGTGCAAATACTTGCATGCAACGGGGAGATTCTGTATCCTCTGATCGTACATAGGCGAAGAAAAATACTTTCTCTCTCTCACTTGAAACTTCCCCGCACAGACATGACTCGAGTGATGTATTTTGCACTCAAGAAAAATCAAATATCAAATGCTCGTAAGTACACAAGTATAATATCGTCCGCTCACCGTGTGTACTTATTTTTCAGCTTTTTCTCATTCGACCTAGAAACAAAGAAACGAGAGTTGTGTACTTGAAACAATGCGCAAACGCTGCCGCGTGCGTGACTCGCTGCCGAGTACATAAGTATAAAAACAAATAGAATACAAACTAAATGGTACATTTATTGAAAATGTTAAAAAGTTTACGCTAAAATAGTTGACTGGCTAACTGATGCCGTATGCTTTTCATGGATCATACGATGCCATCCATCAACAATATGTGCAAGCTGAAGCATCTATATATGGTAATTGTGAGCGTATATCCACACCCACACAAATGCATATATATACTTGAGCTATATGTAGAAACGCTAACGCCCATAGGTATACAGAAGCTCGGGCTTTGGGTTTCGCCCCGAGCGCGCGCGGAATTATGAACTCCGGTATATTATCTACACTAATCAGCATGTGCACATCGTGTTTTCGTTTAATCATACTAAACGAGCTTCCGAAATTTATTACCTCCAGCGGAAACTCTCTCTCTCTCTTTCTCTTTTGCCCTCACTCTCTTTCCATTTCTCACCTGCTCGCACAGCAGCTAACACCCACGAGATGTGCACACAACCTCGCGCCCACGTTCACGCGCACTTGCAAACAATTAAAACTACAATATGCATACGACTTGCTTATACTGTGCTCAAACTCGCCAAGTTTGTTTTAAAATCAGTATAATTCAAATAAATAATTATATACTACGCCACGCTAACACTGTGGTTGAGTCCCGAGTCGGCGTATGAGCACATCGCGATAGCCCATGTCAGGTTTTTTTACTCCTTCTAGCAGCAGTGGTACCGGTGAGTGTTGTCATAAGTACACATATAGATGTAAGTATACGAACCAAATCATGTTAATCTTTATAAGTCAAAAAATTGAGTTTGAAGAAAAATTCTTACAGTTTAAAAGAATACTATTGAATATGAAAATTTAAGACTTCATGAACAAATTAAGTTTCAAGGACATAAAGTACAGTATTATTAAGAAAATTTAATGCGTTCGTAATTTTTGACTATTCTTCTGTCGAAAAAAGGATGGACTAACAGAGTGAGTAGATTATAAGCGTTCTAATTAATTTGAAAGTGGCGCGGTGGATTATATCAGTTTTTAGTGTGCTGATTGTATGCTTCGCGTTTTGATTCAGTTCCCCA